TTTTTTCCTACGTTTTCCCACATTGTTCCCATATGTACCCTGACACATACATACATATTTATTACCCCTCCTACAATCATTTCTGCTTCATCGTCCCTTTTTCTCACCAATACGCTTCTCTTCCTTCTCTATTTATGTCTATTATTATTGCTCCCACTACTACTATTATTATTGTGAATTACCCCATTCTTAACACGTTTAGCTCTCCAATCAATTTCATGCATCCTTCCTCTTTTTCTTTCCCCTACTATTATTGCCACTTACCACCCCACCACGAAGAGGACCTGTGCCAGCGATACAACCGTACTACCAACGCTCCATCACCTTACATAGCCATGCTGCCCCGCTTTATCAGCGTTGCAGTCATCAACAGAGGCCATGCAGATCGCTCATTTTTCTGTCCCTATATATTCATACTATTTTATCACTATTTCACCACTTCATTTGCCTACTTTTCTTTCATTATTCCTCTTCAAAACAAACATTTACTTTTACAGTCGCCGCTTTGGGCAGTATTTTATGCCTATTTTGCTGTGTATTTTTACTATCAACCGTTCTCCTGCCTTTGTTAGTTTCCTTTTTAATTTTTCAACCATATACCTATGTATCGACATGCAGCTATTTTAGTTGTGCAACCTTTAGCATTTTTAGGCTTATCTATTGTCAAATACTAATTTTTTTTTCATTCTTTATAGAGGACTTAACTAGCTTTGTTTGTTACGCTGAACAACCCTCAAGCGAGTGCTCTAAGCTATTTTCGCGTCGCCTTCGCTCTTCATTTCACTCATGCCCGTATTTGGGCTGTCGACGCTTTATGTGTTAAGGAAAAGGCAGATTTCGTTTATTAGTCGGCTCTCCACCACAATCACGTCTCGGATCCTTTTAAAATCATTGTCTGCCTGTTTTAGTTGGACCATTATTCCATAAGCATGGATGTTTTTCCAACTAATCCGACCACACGTTACCCACGTAAGGAAACTTTGTAATTTGTTACTTTTAGCCTATTTTTTACAACTTTTCTTTTCTGTCAGGAGTATTTCTTTGCTACATCCGTTTTCTGCATTTATCACATCCCAAACCGTGGGTCAACTTGAAATTGCCAAGTTAATTTTTTCTCCACTTTTACTCTTAATGTAGCATATTTTTTCGACTGAAAAACACTTTTTCTTGGCATAGCCCAAACAAATGGCTAATTTTTTGATTGGATTTTGCAATATTATCTACTGGTAAAGCATACTGGAAATGCTTAGTCAATGAGATGCTATCCATAGGAAGGCATTCAGGACAAATGAGTACATTGAAGTGGTATAGGTTTGGGCATCACTCGACGCCCGCATGCCATATTGTGTCTCACGTCAGCCTTCGCCAACGTATCGGAGCATGACAGTTTGAAAGGTCTGCTACTAACTGTGAAGTTGGACAGAATGTTGATACTAAGACGCTGATCGAACCGCGGTGGCCAAGGTTGTATAAAAAGGGAGTAAAATCCATTGCTTATCTCTTCTAAGTGGCGTTCTTGGTGCCCCTGTTAATTACCCATCCACCTCAGATGCCAAGAGTCTTCGTGTGAACTGCACTTGTCTGCAAATTTTAGCTTCCCCTTGACCAACGTACTCTTTTTGTGGCGTTACAGGGCGAAACAGGACTTCACTTCTCTTTCTGAAAGGGGTGGTGTCATCAACTGCATTCTGGGTGGAAAGTTCCACCTCGCATGATTATTGCCACCTTTGACAT